GGGTTGATGCCCCTGACCCCTGCACTGTTTAAGGGCCATTTATATAACGCTATATTGGATAAAACTATAGTGGTAGAGAACAGATTAATGGTTGCCAGGGATAGAGACAAGTGGATATAACTATAAAGAGGGATACATGATGAAGTTCCTTGATGGTGATGAAACAGCTCTCTGTCTTGATTTATAATTGTATTTGCAGCAATCTATAAATGGGACCAAATTGCATAGAAAGAACTAGGTACACACATACACAGGAGTGGATGTAAAAGCTGGCTAAGTCTGTAGGTCTAGTTAACAGTATTGTACCAATGTCAGTTTCCTGCCTTTGAAATTATACCACAGTTAGCTAAGATGTCATCATTGGGGGAAGCTGAGTAAAGGGTTCATGGGACTCTTAGTACTGTTTTTACAACTTCCTGTGAGTCTATAATTATTTCAAAATAAAAAGGTTAAAAAAAATTTTTTGAGATGAGGTCTTGCTGTATCGTCCAAGCTGGAGTATAGTGGTGTGGTCATAGCTCACTGCAGCCTTGACCTGGGCTCAAGGGATCCTTCTGTCTCAGCCTCCTGAGTAGCTGAGACTACAGGTGCTCACCACCACACCTGGCTAGTTATTTAATTTTTTTTTTTTTTTTGTAGAGATTGGGATCTTGCTGTGTTGCTCAAGCTGGTCTCTAACTCCTGGCCTCAAATGATCCTCCCACCTCAGCTTCCCAAAGTACTGGGATTCGAGGCATGAGACACTGCACTCAGCCTATTTCACCTTTGTTTTTTAATGTGACCACCTGAAAATTTTAAATTACATATGTGGCTTATATCATATTTTTATTGAATATTGTCGCTCTAGAGATTCCAATGTGTGCACTGGATTAAGCTATGGGGTCACTTATTATGTGTTCCAGTCCTAGTAATCTACAGTAGACTTTCCTTCTCATAAAATTCTGTAGTCAAATAAATTTAGGAACTGTGATAGGTTAAACAAAGTTACACAGGTTTCTTTATAAGATGTCTTCCAGGTCTTTAATAAGAAATGTGTATCATAAATCTCAAATATTCTTATTTCAAAGGAAACTAAGGAACAGAGGGATTAAGTAACCTGCTTAAGTTCATATGGTTAGTAAGTGATGAAGCCAGGTTTCAAATCCTAGTAGTCTGGCTCTCAGAGGAAGGCCTCTCAAGGAAATAAAGAGTTTGAGATTTTAGTGAATTGTACCATTGTTCTACATAAAGATAAACCTAAGAGCCCAGTCAGTGGAGCTTGTACTTCAAATTATTTCTCAAATTGTAGAGATCAGTTTATGCAGACTTATCTGTATGTCTCTCATTCAGCAATCCTACCAGAAAGAGCTTGTTTTTAAGAAAGTTGTAAGGATCAGAAATACAAATTCGAGCTATGAAATAGAGACTTAAGACATTTTTTAAGTCTGCCAGGGAAATCTATGAATTGACAATTAGATAACAAAGAAATATCATTAAATTTAATAACAGCACTATGACTACATACAAAAATGTCCATAATTTTTAGAGATGCATGACATGTATAGGAATGAAATGACAGTATCTGCGGTTTTGCTTTCCTTATTTCACAGAGAGACACAGAGAAGTTAAGAAAGCATAAGGACGATAGATGAAGCAAATATATTAACTTTGATAACTGTTGAAGTGGGGTGACAGGTAGTTCATTATACTATTCTCTATATGTTTACATTTGAAATTTTTCATTTAAAAATGTTAAGCTCTATGATGAAAATCATTCCTTTCTCAAATTCTTTTTAACAATTATAATTTGTATTAGGTAGAAAACTAAAGTTATTACTTTAAAGCAGGTTATCATTATTATAACATCTAAAGTAAAAATTGCTTTGAATTTGCTCCCATTTAGATACACTTTACCTTCATTATTCACTTCATCGTGACTCCAGCTACAGAAGCATCTTTTGGGCCTTATAGAGAGTATCAAATCAACAATCAAGAACAAGTAGGCCAGGTGCAGTGGCTCACATCTCTAATCCCAGAACTTTGGGAGGCCAAGGCAGGCAGATCGCTTGAGTCCAGCAGTTCGAGACCAGCCTGGGGTGAAACCCCATCTCTACTAAAAATATAAAAATTAGCTGGGCATGGTGGTGTGTGCCTGTGGTCCCCGTACTTGGGAAGCTGAGGTGGGAGAATTGCTTGAACCTGGGAAGTGGAAGTTGCAGGTGAGCCAAGATTGCACCACTGCGCTCCAACCTGTACAACAGAGATTCAGTCTCAAAAAAACCAAAAAACCAAAAAACTGGTATAACTATACTAGTTAATATTTCTGGCCCAATAAATGCCTATCATTTTTTTCGTATAAGATTTTTTTTTAACTTTCTGAATGGTTGGAATTAATTATAAAAGCAGATTTTTAACTAAATCTCTATCACTTTATTGGGAAATGACTGTTTCTTCTCAATTTTTTTAAAAAAAATAATAACACATTCTAAATCTAAGAGATAACTGTTTCTTCTTCCTGCTTCCTAAAGAGTTTACTAGGAACTAAATTGCTACCATGTAGAGCTCCTATTCCTTAATAATAAGCTTCTAAAAGGCAAAGAGAGATTTTAGACTTACTTTCTTTGTATGCCTATTGTATCCCAAGTAAAAGTGAGAAGGGACAAGGAAAATACCATTTATTGAGGAGGTTTATGTGTCAAACCCCACATCATCGTTTTATTTTTATTTATTTATTTATTTATTTTTGAGACAGAGTCTCGCTCTGTCACCAGTTGCCAGGCTGGAGTGCAGTGGTGCAATCTTGGCTCACTGCAACCTCCGCCTCCTGGGTTCAAGCAATTCTCCTACCTCAGCCTTCCAAGTAGCTGGGACTACAGGTGTGCCATCACGCCCAGCTAATTTTTGTATTTTTTTTAGTACAGACGAGGTTTCACCATGTTGGCCAGGATGGTCTCAATCTCTTGACCTCATGATCTGCCTGCCTCGGCCTCCCAAAGTGCTGGTATTACAAGCATGAGCCACCATGCCCGGCCCCTTTTTAAAATTTTTTTGAGACAGAGTCTTGCTCTGTTGCCCAGACTGGAGTGCAGTGGCATGATCTTGGCTCACTGCTACCTCTGCCTCCCTGGTTCAAGCAATTCTCATGCCTCGGCCTCTCAAGTAGCTGAGATTACAGGTGTGTGCCACAATGCCCAGCTAAGTTTTTTTGCATTTTTAATAAAGACAGGGTTTCACCATTGTTGCCCAGGCTGGTCTTGAACCCCTGAGCTCAGGCAATCCGCCCACCTTGGCCTCCCAAAGTGCTAGGATTACAGGCGTGGGCCACAGCACCCAGCCGACACTATAATTTTAAATAAGCTTTTAGGTAAGGTCTTATTCCTATATTACAGAAATGAAGCCTCAGTGATGTAGTAATTTGCCTAAAAGTCACATGACTAGAAGACAGCCTAGCCAGAAACCCAATAATGACTCAAAATATCATGCTTGCAATTATTATGTATAGTTAATATTTAATAAATTATGGTTGCTAAAATTACATAGCTCAATGAAGGAAAAAAAATTGGAATTTGGGGTTAAAGGCCAAGCTCAACTCCTGACTTTTTTGGCTATAGAATCTTAAAATGTGTAACATTTCTGATATAATTTCATCTTCTGAAAGACTGAAGATAATCATGCCCATTTTACAGAGTTGTTAAGATCAAAAAGTGAAGCGGGCTGGGCATGGGTGGCTCACACCAGCACTTTGGAAGGCTGAGGTGGGAGAATTGCTTGAGTACAGGAGTTTGAGACCAGCCTGGGCAACATAGTGATACTCTGTCTCTACCAAAAAAAAAAAAATTTTTTTTAAATTAGCCAGTTGTGGTGGCATGCACCTGCAGTCCCAGCTACTTGGGAGGCTACATTGTGAAGATCACCTGAGCCCACGGGTGGAGGCTGCAGTGAGCAAGGATTGCACCATTGCCTTCCAGCCTGGACAAACATAGCGAGACCCTGTTTCAAAAAAAAGTGAAAGCCCTTTTGGAAGTGTAAAGCATTAATAAATATATGATACTCATTGCTTTCTAAATTATTATACAACACTTCAGTCAGGGTAGGAGGTGGATCTTTTAAGTCAGAAATATTTGCTCTCTAAAGTCTCAAAAACAAAACTGATCTTTATGGATTCTGGTGCTTAATTGCAAAGGTGGTGAGGCAATATGTGTGATGGTTATGACCACAGGCTTCAGAATCAGATTGACATCAGGTTTTTACCTCTTAGATCTCCCACCTTCAAGCTGGGTGATCTTTGGCATGCTTAGTCTTTAAACCAGGGATCTTTATCTGTAAAATATGCAATAGTCCTAATCTGATATCCTTGTTGATAGGATTAAGTAAGCAAATGCACGTAAATAGCTTTGCACCGTGCCAAGTGAGCCCTTTACTGGAGCACTCAGCTATTAATAACTTCTCGAGCTGACCATGGCCATTGGCAATGGGACCTGAAGCACTGCGGAAACTACAAATGATTCAGGAGACCCAGTGCTTGAGTTCAGGAATTACAGACCAAGGGCGACACGCCCTCAGCTGGAGATGGAGGAAGAAGGGACAGCATCCAGGAGGGCTGAGAGGAGGGAATTCCGAAGAAAAATCTCTCCCCAGCCCTAGGAAAGGAAAGGAGCGAAGGACTGGTAAAGGAGGGTCCCCAGAGCGCCCGCGGCCCGCCCCGGCTGGGGTGGCTGAGCAGTCCACTCACAGCTCCAAGCTCTGTGGCACCGCCTTCCGAGTGTATCTGGAGATCATCCTCCTTCTCCTCCTCCTCAGCCGCGGCCGGGGCGGGCATGCCAGGGTGGGGGCCTCCGGGCCTGGCCCTCCCGCCGGCTCCGGCCCGGCCCCCTCCCACCACCTACCGGCCCCGTCTCGCCCCGTCGCCTAGACTCCGATCCGCCACCTCCCCAGGGTCCCCACCTCTCCAGTCCTCCGACCTCCCTGCTCTCCCGCGAGAGCGGAAGTGACGAAGGCACTCGGGCACCCGCCGACGCACAGCAATGACAACACCCAAGCTTCCGGGGACTGAGCGGCTTCAAACTCTCCCAGGATTTCCGCTGGCCCCAGGTCGCGGTTGGACGTCGGGACAGAGCCTGATCCAGGCTTCGGCGGCCGGTGGCAGCTCTCGATCAGCTCTCTCAGTCGGAGAGGCGGCAAAAGAAAGGTGCCACAGCAGAGACACGCAGGAGCTGCCCTAGAACCGTAAGAGAAATTGGCTTCATTTTGTTAGACGGCAGGAGGGAGCGTAGACTGAGTAAAGAGCACTAGACTCCAAATCAAGCCCCAGCTGCGTGGTCGCTCCTCTATCTGTGCTCCGGGTTTTCTCATATGTACAGTAAGGCATTCGCCTGAGTGATCATAGAGTCCCTTCTATTTCTGAAATCAAATTCTGCATCATGAGGTGTGCTTGGCGTTATGGGGTGGGTGGGTAGAATTACTGTCTGTCCCTCTGGGTTGAAAGGCAAAATGATGATTTAGTCAGACTGGTGAGTGGGTGTCTGGTTAGAAGAAGCACGTTCCTCCCATAGAAACCTGAGTAGGGGCAAGATTGGAATCATTGTGTTAGGGTGGTCCATCCAGCGCAGTTCCTTCCTTTACCGAGCATCGCCTGGAAGCAAGAATAAACTAGTGCTCTTATTTGTAAGGAAAGCCCTTAGAAAATTAAGAGAAATACCAATGATATTCTTCAAAGTACCAATGACATTCCATCAAAATACCAATGACATTCTTCACAGTTATAGAAAAAAATGATCCTAATTTTTTTTTTTTTTTTGAGAAGGCCTTTCACTCTTGTTGACCAGGCTGGAGTGCTATGGCACGATCTTAGCTCACGGCAACCTCCGCCTGCTGGGTTCAAGCAGTTCTCCTGCCTCAGCCTCCCAGGTAGCTGGGATTACAGGCATGCGCTGCTACACCTCTTGTCCTCTTTT